GCACAGAATAGAACTGCCCCATTGGGTTTATGAGACTCTAAATCTTTATGAAAATAGCATCATCTTTCTCCCAAGAAGTGACCAATGGGTATGATTATGGATTAGTAGCTTGTGGTGAGCAGCTGAGGGGAGGATTAAAAAGAATCTTGAGTGAATGACAAACACAGTTGAGGGTAGGTTTGCCTTACAGAAAATGAAAAGTGTTAAGAAAGTCTGCATACAACATGAATATTTAAACCTGCTATGTCTCCCCCAACTTGCTCCCTTCTCTGTTTCCCAGACCACAAGTGAGACGATTCTCTTAGCAAAGTCCCAGCCCATGCAAAAACGCACAGCAAGATCATTCTAGACTATCATCATGGCATATAACTCAACACTTAGGGAAGGTAGGGTAAAAGATAAATAGTCTTAAACTCTTCAAGAAAATATAATCAGTTAGATCACCAATGTAAAGTTAAAATAAAAATATTTTCATACATGCAAGGTTTCAAACTTTGCCTGGGAGCACTCCATCTCCAGAAGATAATAAACGAGGTACTACACTAAAACATGGGGGATCCAACAAGGCCAGGGGACAGAGGAGATAGGGATTCCACCCCCTCACAAGGGTAATCTTTAGGATGTTGGAAAAGGGGAATTCAAAGATGACAGTTTTCATATCGCAATTCTAGAGAATAAGCAGACCAGAGGGGACAGGTCAGAAGGCACTGGTAAACTGCGTAAAACGTAATTAACAGAATCTCTTCCTGGCTGAAATTTCACTTTCTAACCAAATTTTGGGACAATAAGGAAAGGATAGGGCAAGAATGTTAACTGGCTACATAGTTGTGCCTGCGGGCACACGTACACAGATAAGATAAGAAGAGTAACAATGTGCTCACTTTATGTGGTGGAAAGTCAATAGAAAATGCCTGACGCTGAAAAATCCAGAACTGGAAGTATTTCTTCACATATTATTCTGAGATCAGAAAATAAGCACCTAAGAACTAGCTCATAAAATCCAAAGCAGATGGGGTTCTGGAGGGCTGATGAACTGACAGAGGTGGATGGAATAGGTATTAAAAGACATCAGAAGAGTCACAATACTGTTACTGTTGGTGTAACAAATTTGGATAGCTATTTGCCCCTTTAAACTATCATACTTTATAACTACACAGTAATAAAAGTTTGATGAGAATTCAAATTTGTACACAGTGACTTATTTTAAAAATCAATATCCTATATCTCTGAATCTTCCAGCCTTTCTTCTACAGTAATTCCTAACTCCCGAAAAGTAATATAAAACAATGGGAAAAAACAAGGCCAAAAGCACGAGGATAAAAAAATTTGGAAACCTAGCTGGGTTTTATGCCTATTGTTGTACTCTCACTTTGTATAAATATATGGAGTTTTACATTGAAGATAATGCTAGCCTCACAATTAACAGCACATGTATATGCGCAACTACCTCTATAAACCTACACACCTCTATAAACCTACACATTCAGTGGCCTGCAACACACACACACACACA